CAGACATGGGGCAGTGTGTGGCAGAGCTTTAAAGCCCACACTGTGCCCATCTCTACCTCCTCTCTCTGTTGGGCATGTAGTAGGTACTCACTAAATGTTCACCTATGAAGGCCTTGCAGTACACAGTGTGTGGCAGGGACAGGCAGGCTGGGGTGCTTGGAGGAAGTGAGAGTCCCCAGGTTGGGCTGGGGACTTCCTGGAGGAGGCATGTGGGAAGATCCTCCAGGTGTCAGTCCTAAGACAGCAATTGAGGACAGGCCACAGGAAGTCCCCAGCTCAGACTTAGGGCCAGCAGGGTGGGATCAAAGTCTGCAAAAGGGAGATTTGATGGTTAGGGCCCAGAACAGGGCCACTGATGGGTCTCGCAGCGCATTCCGAAAAGACTTCCCGGAGGAGGGCTACTTCTGGCTGGTCTGGGGCAGGGAAGAAGGTGGAGATGAATCAGATTGGAGAAAGTGGTAAGACAGAGATGTGGAACAGAAAATTTTGTCTCTTCTTGGCCATTAGCCCTGCAAGGAAAAGGCTACGGGGCAGCTAGGCAGGAGGAGCAGGGAAGGCTGTGGCGGGATGGAGATAACACCGGTGCTGACCCCAGGGCTGGGGTGGGTGTGGAGGGCTAGGGCTGGCCAGGAGCATGTCCCCAGCTGTGGCTGGGAAACGTTTCCTGTCTCCTGGCCAGGGGGGTCATTAATAATCATTTACACGCCACAGGCAGCACGGAGGCCAGCCAGGGAGCAGCGTGGTGCTGGGGCTGGAGCCCAGCCTGGTGACCAGTAGAGCTGTTTTCTGGGAAATACGGAATTGCTGTGTCCTGCCACCTAATCATGAAACCTGGATAAGTCACCTGACCTCTCTGGTCTCTGGTAGCACTGGTAAAAGGAGGGTCTAAAAAGGAGGCGGCCTAAAATCCCCTCCCTGCTCTGGGCCTCAGTTTCTCTAGATGGCAGATGGGCCGCCTACCTGGGTTATGGACATCTGAAGATTGATGTGGCCATCTGGACGATGCCGAGCCCAGCTCCAGACACATGGGAGGGGCAGACCCGGCCCACCTTCTGAAGAGCTTGTGTTCTGATTGGGAGCCAGAGCCTAACACAGTGGAGCTCACACCTGGAGCCTCACAGAAGTGAGGGGAAAGAGACTGGAGGGTCGTGTGTCCAGGGTCTAGGGGTCTGACAGTGTGGCTGGGCTGGGAAGATGGGGTTTCTCCGATACAGGAGGTGGGAGCCCCAGGAGGCCTATTTGGGCACTGCTGTGTCAACCTGTGCCTTCCTGGTGTGTAGCAGGTGCACAATAAATGCTTTTGACAAGTGAATGAGTTGATCTGTTAAATGAGACCTCTGTGAAAGGAGGTTGGAATCTGGAAAGAGCTGACTAAAAGATGATGATGACGATGACAGTCATTCTGGCCAAAGACAAAGAGGGTGGGGAGAGGTGACGTGAAAGCTTGAGGAGAGGCGACATGAAAGCTTGGCCCCAGGGATGGGCCATCCAAAGCCAGACAGTATTGCTTGGGAAGGATCAACTGCCATCAAGATCTTTTTTTCCAGTTGAACCAGAATCTTCCTTAGCCCCAGGCCACATTTCTCTGCCTATTCCATACCCCCTTCTAGGCCTGGCTTAAGCCCACTCACAGCAGAGAACATTCTGGAAGGTGATGCTGAGGCACTGCTCCTGGCCCCCTCCCTGGATAACTGTTAGTCTATGTCTTCCAACATTCAGGGGTTCTGGTCTTTCTTCCTCCCAAATACCCGTCAGCAGCTTGCCCATTAAGATTTCCTCATTGTTTTCTCTGGAGGCTTTGAGCTGGCTCCTCCTTACTGACTGGCATCTCCCCTATCAGACTAGAGGGTCGCTACTAAAGTGTGACCAGGCTTCCTTTTTTGGTCAAGGGTATCTGTGAGGACAGAGACTCTTCCTCCTGTCAGATCTGTGAGGTCAACAAAAGGAGATATATTAAGGCCTTCCTGGTTGACTCCCAGCCCCAGGGATGCTCCCTGAGGGCCACACAGAGAACAGAAGAGGACAGGCTGGCATGCAGAAGGGGATGCCTGGCTGCTCACCCCAGAGATGATGTGAGCCAGAAAAGATAGCAGGCCACCCATGGAACTAAGACCTCACGGTTGGCAAATTCACCCAGCGCCGTGCCCAGCCCAAGCTGCTCTTGCACCAAGGAGGCACCACCCGGGATACCACCCAGGCCTCATGGCCTGTGCCTGAACCCTTCCCCGCTGTGGAGCATTGTGAGGTGGTAGTAAACACAGTGACCCTACAACACGTGCATCCTCTCCCCGCCCTCCTCCAAAGCCCAGCCCAACATACGACATAGACCAAAAGGAAAAGAACAAAGGTTCCCAGACCACGACATCACCCGCAGCCTGCCTGTCCAACGCCTGCTCAGCCGGAAACCCAAGACAAAGGCCTTGGTCAAAGTGAGGAGGATGAAGGGCAAAGGGTAGAGGCAGCTTAGCTTAGGGTGGGCCATCACAGAACGTCACTAGGCGTCTCTGGGGACCTAACTGGGAGGGAAGCAAGGACAAGATGGCAGCCAAGCCCTCCCTGCACACACACATCATTCCACGAACAGCACCTGCTGGATTCCATACACCCCAAACATTATATACCTCGTTCCTCACCCCACACACCTTGTGCACACACTTCCTTGCCCCCTGTGCCACATTCCACAGCCCTCAACACTGCTTCACCCCTCCCCCATATACACACCACTAGCTCACTGACACCCTTCACACACTCCTCAGCACACACCACACATAAACAGCTCACGGGGAGAAAAGATCACATAATCCATACGTCACACTGAAAAGTCACACAGCTCACATACCCACACTTCACACCACAACCTCCCACCACGCACCTCACACAACCCACACTCACCTCCTCAACCACAGACACACACACATCCAATTAAATTCAACACACACACCATCTAGACATAGAGACACACATAGATAATGTGCACACCTAATGTCACATGTTTGTGGACACACACAGACCCTTGGCATCGCCAATCCTGCCCGTACATTGCCTCCTCTTTCCCACTTGCATGTGGGCACACACACATATACACACTTAGTCAACCAGCCCCTTGCCTTGGACCCCTCGGCACTCTTCCCTATTGCACAAACAGCCATCACACAGACACATGACACTCAAACACCAACACGCGGTTCCTAATACATTTCCCAAGCAAGTCCAGGATGTACCGCCGTGACTCTAAGCCACCTAGGCTGCAAACACACTCACACAGCTCCCCCACCCCCACTGCCCTCCACCAAGATGTCCAATGAAACCTTTCATCAGGCCCCCACAGTGGCTCTTCCTGGCTACACACAACAGCCAATAACATGCGCAACCACAGACAACCCCCGCCCCCCATGCAGGCTGGCCCTACAACTCCACCCCATAGAGACAGACACACCACATACACACATGTTCCCCCCCCATACAACACTCATACATACAGCTACCACTCCACACTCACAATGCAGCCTTTCTAGCTGCACACAGCATGCAACACCATACACACCATCTTCACACTCACCATAAGTCCCCGTGAATCCCCCCAAATAAGTCCACTGGTGATGCCACACACAATACTACATGACACATCACATATGATCACACACAAGGCACACCTAACACACGCAACATGGCCCATCCTACACAAACACCGTAGACTCACCCAGCCCTGGAAACCTCCCACCACAGGTGACTGACACCAGATGGCAGTCTACTCCCCCATTCCCCCAACCCAAGCCCCCACCTGCTCCCAGTCAAGACCAGGCCAGTGGGGATGGGGGGGTTTGTAAGTTATGAACCCCAGTGCTCCACGGCACAATCCCCACCCACCTTAGATCCCCAGGCACCGCCCAAGGGTTCTGCTCTCCATGTTGAGTCCCTTCCACCAATGCCCACACCATGCCATGCCTGACAACATGGGGCAGGTGAAGGTCCTGGGGACTGGCCCAGCACTCTGAGCCTGCCCTTTCCTCACCCCAAAGCAGAGGCAGATATAAGGGGAAGGTACAATCACAGAGTGAGACCCTAGAACAAAGATAGAGACCTAGAGAAATGGGGGGGGGGGCGGTTGGAGTTTTGGACAGACTGAGAGAGGTGAACATGGGCAAAGGGACCAAAAGAGAGAAATGGAGGGGCAGAGAGAGAGGATGCCCAGAAAGACTCAAAGAAGCTAGAGGGGAAAGCAGAGAATAAAGTGGGACCGCCACACTGGAGAGAAATAAGAGGTGAGGGTGAGACTCCTAAAAGACTAGAGGATCTCCTACACAGGAGGGAGAGAGGGAGGGAGGGAGGGAGGGAGGGAGGGAGGGAGGGAGGGAGGGAGGGAGGGAGTGTAGGAAAGCAGGAACCAGGTGGGAGGGGGTCCTGCAGAGGACACAAGCTATGATAGAAAGAGGCGTTTGGACTCTGGGGTACAGTCCCAGGTGAGGACTGAAGTCCAGATGTTGGGAATCTGGGTGGGGGCACAGATGAGGCTGTGGAGTAGATGTTCAGGGGCTTGGGGTGAGGCTCCAGCTGTGACAGAGGTCCTGGCTGAGAGCTGGGGGCTCAGGTGTTCTAGGTGTACCTGGAGTCCGATATATATATAGGGTGTTGAGGGGTCTGGGCGGGGGGCCATCCACTCATCTGGCAGGCAGGGGTTCCAGGTTTGCACAGAGCTCTCAGTGGAGACCCGGGTCCTACCGTGGATTGGGAGGGGAGCGCTCGGAGTGCAGTCCCGGACCCGAAAGGGGTTCAGAGTCTGGGGTGAGGTTTGGAATGTGAGCTGGGATTCGAGGGCTCCGGGCATGGGCTGCAGTCCCAGCACAGGAGTGGAATTCAGGGCTCGGGGAGGGCGCCCCGCCTTGAGGAGGGTTACAGGGGCAGAGCGGACCGCGGAGCCGGGCCCGCACGCTCCTTGGGAGACCGGCCCGGCCGGGCGCTCACCCGACACCCTCCTCGTGCCCAGCGCGGGGCCCCCCTACCTGCAGGCTGTCGGCGCATGGCTGCGGCGGCGGCGGCGGCGGCGGCGGCGGCTCGTCCGGCTTGAGGAAGACCTGCTGGCCCCGCCTGAGGAATTGGACAACAGCGATGAGGATGTGGTGCAGCACCAGGACCATGCTCGCAGCCGCCCGCCCGCCCGCCGGCCCGGCCGCTGCGCTCGGTCAGCGCGTCCGCGACAGCTCCGCCGGGTCCGCGCGAGGGTCCGCCCCGGCCCCGCCCCCGCCCCGCCCCGGCCCCGCCCCCGCCCGCGCGGCCCCGCCTACCCCCGCCCCCGCGGGCTGCACCTCGCGGCTCGTCCGCCCCGCGGCCCCCGCGCCCCCCGCCTGGCTCTCACCCCGGCTCTCTCCGCTCTCAAGCCTCTTCCAGCTTGTCCGCTATTAGGATCCCCCACCAGGTAGCCCGCTCTCGGCCTCGCTCGCCCCTCGGCGCCCCTCGCCCCTCGGAGCCCCTCTCTCGTCCGATCACGTCCTCTCCCCAACACTTAGAAAGTCCTGGGGCCCGGCCAGAGCCCCGAGCCCCGAGCCGCGAGCCGGAGACCCGCGCAGGGACGGGAGGGGCGGGAGGCGGAGGATGGGGGGAAGGGGCCGCTGAGCCGGTGCGAGGAGCCCCGGGCTGGATCTTCTCCGGGAGAAACGGGGAAGTCGGGGAGAATTTTAGAGGTCGCCCTGCGACGGCCAGGCCTGGGGCAGTAGCCAGTCTGCGAGGGGGGCACGTGCGCACAGACCCACGAGAGCACGCACGGACAGGCGCACCGCTCCGGAGTGCGGGGTAGGGGCCCGGGAGCCGGCCCTGGGCAGGCAGGTCAGCGCTGGCGTCCCCGGAAGCCGGAGAGGGTGCAGGGCGCAGGGCTGCACAGTCCACAGTTCGCTAGTGGGACCCGCGCGTCCGGAGCGCTCTTCTCCGCAGAGCGGCCTCTGTGCTCTGGCGCCTGCGGCAGCCGTGACGCTTCTGCGCCCCCTGCTGTCCTGTCGCGGCAGCGCAGCCCGGCCCTTATTTGCCGTCTGCTTGGCGAGGACAGTCGGGTCGGCGGCCGTGGGAAGAGGGGTCACGGGGCCAGCTCTCTGCCTGGACCCACCCCATTCCCAGCCTCCACTAGGCCTGAGATCCGCTGGGGTGCCAGGACGTGTCTGAACTGGAGGGAGCGCTCTGGATCACACCTGGCCTTTGCCCCTGGCGGCGACTTGCATGACCTTGATCAGCTTCCCTTCCATTCTGGGCCTCAGTTTTGCCGTCTCTTTCACAAGACTGCCTGGATAATCCACCCCATAAGGGTGGGAAGGCAGCCAGAGTCCCCTGACAGCCCTCACTGTGGTCTGACCTGAATCCTTCCCCCTGCCGGGCGGGGGGGCCCGCCTCTCTCCAACACCCCATTTCCCCACTTGGAGGGTGACTCAGTGAACCCCTCAGCCTCCCCACCTCACTGGGCTGATTCATTTGGGCCCTCTCTCCCTGGAGAGTGATTTCCTCAACGTTGAGTCACTGAGCCCAGTCCTGGACACAGTCCAGGCACCTGGCACATAGGCTGGGCTGGGCCCTGGGGATGCCATCAGCTCGGGGGGAGGCCCTCCCTCTGATTCTGAGGCCCAGCTCTGAACATGCTTCTTCCTTTGCTCAGATACCTTTAAAGACTCCCTGCCACAAATTAATAAAGCCCAAATCCTCAGTCTGACATAGCAGACTCTCTATAATTTAGCCCTGACTTATCTTCCAGCTTTGAACCTCTTGCCACCGGTCCTTAAATTTATACTTCCTCCTCTCTTCAGATGGGTGACTGACTCATTCTCACCTCTAGACTTTTACCCATGCCACCCTACCCCTGATACTCTCCAGATCCTATCAGCCTGCTTATCATTCAGGGGCCAGAGGCCCACCTCCTCCAGGAGGCCTTCCCTTGATGCTACCTTAGTCCTCTGGGTCCCCCTTCTTGTGTTCCTTTCTGGGAATCATGTTGGGGACATAGAGAGGAGTGGGAAGCTCTTCTGTCATTAAGTGATCCAGGCCAAGTCAATGTATTTTACTTCACCTTCAAATTGGGCCAATATGACCTACTTTTTAATACCCTAGAAATTTACTTGGGCTCAGGTGGTGTAAAGGTTCTGGCCCAGAAAAGGACCTCCCTTCCTTTTCTGGCCTTAGTTTCCTGCTCTGTAAAGGGGGTGACCAGTGTAAAGGCTATATAAGGACCGAGTCTGAGCCCAGCACACAAATGGTTCGGCAAATTCCAAGCACCTGTCAGTTCTGGGCTTTTATAGCCTTGGTTGGGACACAGGTACCCAGGAGGTATCTGTTACTGCCACTGGCCACAGCTGTTTGTTCTTCAGCGGAAGCCATGTCAGACCCTGCAGTCAAGAGCTGACCCTGGCCTGGCACAGCCACCATCTCTTCGGCTCTCAGCTCTAGGCAAGAGCTCCACAGCACTCACCTCATGATAAATTATTTTTCAAATCTTACTTGGTCATCCTACACTATAGCTCCATGGCTGGAGCCCCAGGTCCATGCTTTATGTCTCCCTCAACTCAGAGAGATTCATTCTGCATCAATCCTTCAGATTAAAGCATTCCTCCAAGGGGTCTGAGCCTTAACTCTGCCATAGACTTGCTGTGTGATTCTGAGCAGGCCACTGAACCTCTCTGGACCTCACTTTCCCCATCTGTGAAATGTTAACACACTAGATTCAATAAACACACTTCTTTATTTTGATGCTTGGCAGGATACCGAGGCTCTTTCAAAAATATCCCCCATGTAATCCTTGAAATTCTCCATCCAGCCCACTCCCAGAAGAGGCAGCCAAGGCTCTTTGAGATGGCAAAGTGACAGGCCATGCCCAAGCCCTCATTGCCAGGAAGTGACCCTTCCTCCAAGGCTGGAACTCCTCCATTCCCCTACAGATGCCTGTCTGCTAGCGCTACATTCTGTGATTCCGTGTTGGGTTCTCACCCTGGCTCCTCCCTGGGACTCCCCATCCCAGATATTTTTAAATGTTCTCAGGTGATTCTAATTTGCTGCCAGGTTTGAGAACCCAGGATTAGATGCCTCTCGTTTCTGGCTGACCTCACTCAATCCCATGGAATCGAGGACCAGGGCTGGCCCCTGAAGGCTGAGTGTATACCCCTGGAGCTGGGGGACTCTCTGTGAGAGGGGCTTTAATATTTACTGAATACTTACTATGCACCTTACATTTCAGCTTCTCAATAACAGTAGAAGGTCTGTTATTAGCCATGTCTTATTAGCCATGTTTTACAGATAAGGAAAACGGAGGCACAGAGAGACCAAGTAAATTTTCCATAGTCACACAGCTAGTAAGTAATAGAGCCAAAATTCAAACCCGGGCCATCTGGCTCCAATCTGTGCCCCAAATTCATGCTCCACATCTTGAGGAAAGGCATGTGAGAAAAACAGATTTTCCGACCTCTCCTTTTGCCCCCAACAAGGCAGTGACTGAGGATTCCATACTCCCAGTCCCTGAACCCTCTGTCTGTCTCTGCCACAAGGAAGCCCAGCCCCAGGAATGCCTGGCCTAGCCTCTCTAGATGCTTCTTTTCATCTCCCCACCTTTCGGGCTGCCCAGTGGCCCAGCTACTGAGTATTTTTAGGAAAAAGTGACTCAGCCAGCAGCCTGTCAACCTGGGTACCAGGCCCCCCCGACCTCAGGCCCTGTCCAGAAACCAGCTCTTTGTTGTTCCTGATAATAACAACACCCCTGTGGGTCACTGTGCTCACAAAGCACTTCCTCACCTGGGCCAGGAGAGCAGACTTGTCTGCTTGCCATCTCTCTAGCTGACACAGTGTCACCAGCAGGTCCTCCAGTAGGCCGGAAATCTGCTGTCATTCCCCATGCCCATGTATCCTGCCTCCATAAGCCTGATCTGGTGCCTGACAGGCATCTATCTTTTTGCTGCTAACCATGCTCAGACTCCTGGAAGCCCAGGTTCAAATCTGAACCCGCCCTAAAATACTGGATGGCCTCGGGCAAGGCTCTGGCCCTCTCTGGCCTCAGACTTCTCAGCAACTGTAAGAGTTGGTCTGGTTCTCATGGAGGCCTCAGGCAGCTCAAGTGGAGGGAGGCAGCATCCAGGTAGGCCCAGCTGGGCACAAGGCAGCTTTCTTGGGTAGACAGGCCTGCCTGGGCATGCCAGACCCAAGGACTGTGAACAAGGACCGGGTCCCAGTATGGGAGGCTCCTCAGGAGAAAGTGTCCATGACACAGACTTTCCATGACTTGGAGTGTGGAGCCCATGAACTGTGCCATCCTAAGGGCCCTGCAAAAGGACAATCCAAGAAGCGTCCTGGAGGAAGCTGACATCTCTACAGGTTCTGTGCCCATCTACAGCCTGTCCTCAACACTTCAGCCCTGGAGAGAGTATGGGGATAAGCCACACTTAGGTAGCTGTGTGGTGTGTGCAGGTGTATAAGGCCTTGCCCCCAGGACTGTGAGCATGGTGTGGGTGAAGGCGGGAGAGGGTAGGACTACAGGTTTGTAAGTTTTTTTGTGAGGATGCCTGATACTTCTGTGGTATAGCTGAATTTGCATATGTGTGTGTATCTATGAAGTGTGTGTTTATGTATGTGTGTGCACACAGGTATATGTATGTAGGTGTGTGTTGCTCACATGCATGTATACGTGAACAGTTGTAGGTATGCACAAGTGTCCAAGTATCAAATATGTGCATTCATGTGTGGATGTGTATCTAAATGTGTGAGTATGTATACATTCAAAATCACTCCTAACGGAGGTGCTGTCATGGCCATCAGCCCGGGTCAGCTGTTTGTCCCTTGGCTATGACCCTAAAGTGTGGGTAGCCCTCACAGAGAAAGGGTCTGGCCACAGGCAGGTACTGGGGAAATATGGATTTTGGCTCGGGGTGAGCAGGGCCTGCTCCCAGAGCCCCAGAAGCAGGTGAGTGGGGAAGAGCATAGGCTGAGTGAACTCGAGCCCAGGGGATGTGGGGATGGGGGTGGGTCAGCCACAGGTCTCATCCATTTCCATGTTATTTTTATACGCATTTGTCTTGTCTGCAGCAGGCGGCCAGGGTCATGACCCTAGAGGGCAAGGGAATTCATAGGAT